AGATCTGTTGACCCTCAGATCTGTTGACCCTCAGATCTGATGACCCTAGGCAGGTCCTGATGAGCTCATCCGTGGTGCCAGTTCATAATAAATTGACTCTTCGTCATCATCATAAGATGACTTTAAATTATAATGAGAATGTTATTACAAGTTATTACAAGATATTACAAGTTATTAGGCGATGATGAGAAAACCGCTCCGGTTTGACTAAAGTTAGAAGTTAGTTCCAGCTCTGTGTGGTTTCAGTCCAACAAACTGACACCGGGCCCAGTGGACCGAGTTCATAGAGTGAGACAGAAATAACTGCTGGGTGATGGAGAGGAGGAGGAGGAGGAGGAGGACGGCTGAAGGACACCGAAGGAACCGAGTTTATTTATAGCAGAACCGGAGCCTCTGATCGATGGAGGGGCAGAACATGACCCGTCCTTGCACATGACCAGCTGTGTGTGTGTGTGTGTGTGTGTGTGTGTGTGTGCGTGTGCGTGAGACTGAGACCCTGTTGTCTCCTGCGAAAGAAAGAAACGGTCAATAAAATCAATACAACAGATAAAAGACATTAATCAACTTATCAGAAACTCAAACAGAAGCTACACTAACTTAAAGTCATGAGATTCAGAAACAGGAACAAGCGTTTGTGGATGGATCTCCAATTGTTTCATTAAAAATTTAAATTTCTTGAGGGAAACAACTTCTCAAAGTTTTAGAGGTCCTCACAGAAATAACATTTAAAAACGTGCATGTGTTTTAAAATGCTGGTTCAGAGCCAGGACACGAATAATCCAAGAAAAGCCTGATGACCCTCAAGACAGAGGAGGTCAAAGACCCTAACGACCCTCAGGAGTGAGGTGACCTTTGACCTTTAAACCAAGCCACTGTTGTTAAGAGAGGTCCAACAGAACAGCAGCTGACTCATACAGAACCACCTGGTTCTAGACTGTGGTCCAACGGGTCAGAACTGGCTGTTAAATAATCCCTGATCACTGACTGAAGGTAGGAAACAGTTTGGTACATTACAGAGGAGGCAAGAAACCAAAATCCATTTCAGTTTGTGTTTAGGAGCCTGTAAACCCGACAGTTACAGTCGGAACCAGAACCGGTCCAGCCGTCAAATATACCAAACATGTTCCTGATTAATTTAATTAGGGTTCTTCTGGAGGTTGTTGCCATTGATGTGATAACTTTTTTACAGAAAATAAAAATGAAATGACCATATTTATAACAGTTAGTTGAACCTGTATTTAAGAAACTAAATGAATCTGAAAATGAAAGTTTTAGTATTAAAATGTTTAAAAACTTTCATTAAAATTACATCCTGGTGATCTACTGCCTCCTGATGGTCACATTTTTATCCACGATCAAACTGGTCCTGCCAGAATCCTCTGATCCTGGATCAGTTTCTGGGTCAGGGTTTGAGGCTGTGGTTCTGTGATGGGGGCCCAGGTCTTGATCCAAACATGGACCCAATGGACCTGAAGAAGTGGAACAGAACTGGAATCTTCAGTTGGGCTCAGACTTCCCTCCTGTCCTCAGATCCATGTGATCAAACATGGAGATCTGTCTCCCCCTGCTGTCTAAAATATGAATTACATGCAGAACCAGCAGAGACGTTTTAACTTAAAAAAAAAAACAACTTTCTGCAGAAAAGTAGATGGTTCTGATCCATCCATCAAGTTTAATCTCTAAACAGCACCAAGGACTTTCAACTTTTTTATGTAATTTAGCCTGACAATAAAAACTGTGATGTACAAAAACATTTATGACTGAAACGTGACGAATCTTCTGAACCGGTGCTCATTACATAAACCCATGAAAGAGGTTAACCTGTATGAAACTATAAAACACTTCCAAAACATCATGGCAAAGGTCCAAACTGAGGTTCAAACTGAGGTTCTATCAGATGTTCTGATGTTCATATTGAGGTTCTGACTGAAGTTCTAGCTGAGATTCAAACGGAAGTTCTAATGGAGGTTCAGTTTGGATTACAGGAACGGCTCTAAAATGGGTTGAATCATATTTATTTGATAGATTCCAGTTTGTAAATGTAAATAATGAATCTTCTTCATGCACCAAAGTTAGTCATGGAGTTCCTCAGGGTTCAGTGCTTGGACCAATACTCTTTTCTTTATATATGCTTCCATTAGGTAAAGTAATTAAACAACATGGGATAAATTTTCATTGTTATGCTGATGATACTCAGTTATATTTGTCCATGAAACCCAAAGAATCCAATCAGGAGCTTAACGTGTTTTTTGTCTTTCCTCCTCTAGAAAGTTCACCTGGACCTGTCATTCTGTGTCCGTTTCTACTTCCTGTCCTCTCAAACCAGCTGGTCGAAGCAGATGGCCACTCGTCCTGAGCCTGGTTCTGTTGGAGGTTTCTTCCTGTTAAAAAGGGAGTTTTCCTTTCCACTGTCTCCTTTGTGCTTGCTCAGGATAGGAGACTGTGACGAAGTGAAGATTCAACACAACCTGCTGCTTCCTCAGACAGAGAGAACTTTTACTAATTGTCTTTCATAATGTCTGTGAATGTTTCTGTTCTGTTCACTTCTAACCTTCACTTCTAACTTTCGGTTCTTGGTAAAGTAGGAAATGTTTCAGGACCTGTCTGAGTGATGACTGGCACATGTCAGCTCGGATCATCAAGTTCAAGTATCTTTATTGTCATTTTCATCGCATGTGGTACATGAGGTGGAACAAACTTGTGAACACAGGGTCCCAGTTACATCCAACAACAGGAAGAGTATAAAGAAACAGTACTAAAACTCTAAGATGTAAACTAATAACACAATAAAAACATGAACAACAGCACGAACAAGTCTGTGTGAGTAGAGATGAATGACTACAGCAGCATGAAATGATCAGCAGCATGAGATCAGCAGCATGGATGATCAGCAGCACATATCAATGAAAGTGGCATTACAGAGATGTTTGTGACACCACGTGTCTGTGTTTGAAGGAGAATCGATGGCGTTGGACCTGTTTTCAACAAACTTTGATGATTTCAGAACGTGCGCTGTGGATGACTCTCGGCTGCCACCACATCCAGTTTTAGGTCCATATCTGTGAAAGTGACAGACGTTCAGTTATTTCTGACGTCAGCTGGCTGTGGCGACCATCTTAACCCAAACCAACTCCTAAAGTTCATAGAAGTTTGAACACAGAAGTTTTGGATGACTGTCGGTCCCCCTCCTTCCCTCGGCGAGCCTTTGAACGAAGCTGCTGACTCATCGTTCATCTCAGCTGTGAAGGAAGTTTCTGGAAAGCGGGAATCACCATGACAACCAGCAGATCCTAGGTCTTGTATTACCCAGCATGCTTTTCTTCCTCCACAGTTTCCATCATGGCGGCCCACAGATCCTTAATGTCTGATTGGACCTCTGTTCAGGAGGATTCAGTCAGGACCTGCAAATAAATAAAAGTGAATTTAAAAAAATATTAGAGCTATTCGTCAAAACATTTACTGCACCGCTAAAAGTCTCTTTGAGGACTTTGCTTATAGAACTGTTCCGCCTGGACTTCTGATTAATGGGCACAACATTACAAAAACATTAAAAATTCTAAAATTAGGGAATTTTGTTTACTAATACTTTGTTAATTTTTGTGTCAAACCCAAATTATATTTCACATTTCTTCTCAAAGGATCAAAAGAAAAAAATTTGAACAAATTATTTAAATCTTCCCATTCCTCCAAAAGCGAAGGAAGTCCACTTCAAAAACTTTTCAGGGGTTTCCGCTAAGGAATTCCTCACAGTTGGTTTTACAAGTGATGATGACACTTGCTCATTTTGTGATGTCGCACTGAGTCAACAGTTCATCTTTTCTATGGTTGTATGTATTGTAAAGCTTTTCCCTAAAATTTCAAACTTACTTGAATTTTCTAAGAATGACATTATCTTTAGATCCCTGAGAAAAAATAACTTCAAATTATATTAAATGTAATAATTGTTCTGGGCAACTGTTTCATTCAAGTGTGGTTTTTTAAAAACTGAACCACCTTTGACCCACTTTTCACAAGAAACTCTGTCACCTCTTCTTATCTATGAAGTTCATGGACAAACAACAAGATGTGGAGGTGTATCATATGA